TGTGCTCTCCCTGCTTCCTCCCAGCCTGGCCAGGGCCACACGGAGGGGACTGCCACAAAGCTGAGCCCTATGTAGACCAGGTGCCCTGGACCTGAGAGGTCAGAATGGTGTCAGCAGCAGTGACCCCGCAATGGAAACTACCAGGTCCCTGCTGTGCCCACTCTTTAGTGCAGTGTCACTACACAGATTCCAAGCAGCTCCGTGATCAGTCTGGAAGTTTGTAGTAGTGTCCTCTCTGCCCCCCACAAAGCTCAGGTTGCAGTGGCCTTGTGGAGAACATGGAGCCCCAGGATTCTCTCTCCTTGTCCTTCCCCATGTGTACCTTCCAGTCTTGCAGAATGAATCGCCGCATCACCTTCACTCTGTACCCCATGCTTCTCTGATGATTCACAATGCTCTTTTCAAGAAGGCCCATCAATAGGTGGGCAGCCACCTGCAATTTGCATCCTCTCGAGTCTGCCATCTTGCCCCTCCCTCAGTTCTTTCAATGCCTTCATGTTTAATGTTTGAATTTTTTTTAATTTTAATGTGGTTTCACTGTCTCCCTTCATCTTACATCATATTGTGATGAAGATTTTCTTCATTTTCCTCTTCAGAAAATTTAGTGGGACTTATTTTTGTCAGAACAAACAAGTTCCCAGATATTGGCAGTAGATGTGGGGTGTTGGTTTTTGGAGCCCTTCATATGACATCAGTTAAGTTATTGTCAACTCACTCAATAAGACCAGGTGAGCCACATTAACGTTGACCTTCAATTATCCTAACAGGTGTAAAACATTCTTGCTACCACACAGGAGTTTATTTTCATTTTTATGACTACAAAAATAAATTGTCCCTGTGCTGGGTTGGTATCAGGTATCTCAGGTACTATAAACAAAAACAGAATCACAGGTACAAATCCTGGGTTCATGATGCTACAACTTCTACAGAGGATAGAATTGCTTACTTGAAGTTTGTTGAAAAATTTCTTAAATCTTCTTTTAGGGACACTACTGTATTTGGGATGGGCTTAAAAGATTTTTCATTACCTTTTATATTTTTACTATTCTCAGAATTTGATCAAGGTTATTCTGGGGGTATTTCTAAAATAATGGTGTCAAAGACAACGTTTAATCTGTCATTTTATGTAGGTATGATATTAGGTAACCCAGGTAGACCAAGAAAGACCAAGAATTTTTCCCATCTAAGTACTAACCAGGCCCCACTCTGCTTAGCTTCAGATGAGGTTGGGCACGTTCAGGGTAGTATGGCTGCAGACCAAGAAAGAACATTTCTATCATGAGTTTGTTATTTACATTGGGAATATTTTGTTGGAATTTCAAAAAATGGTTTATGTTGCAATGGCATTTTGAACTGTCATTGTTAACCAGGATACAGTTAAAATTGGAGACATCCTTCTGAGAGTCATCCTTCTGAGAGATACAACCTTATTCTAGTAGTGGGCAGAAGAAAAATACGCTGTAACTTTAATCATAAATGCCTCTTTTTCATTAAATTGAATTAAGTCTGCTAAAAGTTGGAACACAAATAAGATCTGGAATCAAGATACACATTTTTTTAGTTGCTATATTTTTGCAGGGCTCTGTGATAAGCTTTCCTATGGGCTTGTTCCTAGACTAATGTTGCTCACTGGAGGATACTTTGAAGAAATCATAAGGGAGGCTGGAGTCCAGGATAGATCTGGACGACACATTAGATTTATTTTTCTGATTGGTTAACTATTGTAGGTAGTTAATATAGTTAATATTTTGTCTTATTGACTAGGTTCATCAAGCAAAGTAGATGTGTATTTTTTACATGGATATTTAAATTATTTTGGGATTCTCTGCTCTTGTTTCATTAATATTAAACATTTACATTTAATATTAAATTTAAATTTCTGGCCATGGTATACTCTCCTTGTAGGAAGATAGAAACATTTAAAAAGGTTATTACTGGCCAGGCGCAGTGCTCCTGTAATCCTAGCTCTCTGGGAGGCCGAGGTGGGCAGATTGTTTGAGCTCAGGAGTTCGAAACCAACCTGAGCAAGAGCAAGACCCCGTCTCTACTATAAATAGAAAGAAATTAATTGGCCAACTAATACATATAGAAAAAATTAGCCAGGCATGGTGGCACATGCCTATAGTCTCAGCTACTTGGGAGGCTGAGACAGGAGGATTGCTTGAGCCCAGGAGTTTGAGGTTGCTGTGAGCTAGGCTGATGCAATGGCACTCACTCTAGCCTGGGCAAAAAAGTGAGACTCTGTCTCAAAAAATAAATAAATAAAATAAAAATAAATAAATAAATAAAAAGGTTGTTACTGCCTTTAAGGACTTCAATCAACTATTCTCTTCACTTAGAAATATTTATTAAGTCCATGAACTATGCCATATGTTAGCAGAAGGGGAGATAACTGAGAAACCTAAGATGTACTTTCTGCACTCATGACTGTTTTTATTAATAGCAGAGCAGATAATGAATCAGTAGTGTTGAATAAATACATTAATACACAATGCTCATAATTTGTAAAGGAATTAAGAATAGAAAGCCAGTGGGATGTTGCTTTGCTCACTGCTGTATTGTTGTAAGGCTGGAAGAGTTCCAGGCATATAGATCCTCAGTGCACACTTGTTGAATGAATGGCCAAATGGCCATGCAGTTAAAGTTGCCAGAATACAATGAAGGCTCCTGCACTTCCAGCTGGGCTAGTCAGGGAAGGCTTCATGCACTAGGTGGGATTTTAATTGCAGAGAGAGAGGGAGGGCTGTCTAGATCTAGGGAATGGTGTGCAGGCTCCCGAGGAGATGTCAGAGGCTGACAGTCACATGGCAATAGTGGGAGATCCAGCTGGAAAGGCAAATTTTAGAAAGTGTTGGAAGACAGGTTTAGGTTTCCTTGTAGAGAGTGAAAGGGATGTTTTAGAAATATTAATCTAGAGGTGTTAGACCAGATGCACTGAAGGAGGAGGAAACTGAAGTGCACGTTGACAAGGCTTGGTAACTAAGTGGGTTGATGAGGGAAAGGAAAGCGTCAAACATGGTGACAGTCTTGTTTTGAGCATGATTGACTTGAATAGTAAATACATAAACAAACATAGGATAGTCAGGAGGAGGAATTAGCTTTCTGTGGGAATATTTTTGTGTTTTAGGTCTCTTAATGTTTAAAGTAATAGGGACACTTGATGTGGACTGATAGAAATCACAGAAGTATGAAATATTAGACCTAGGAGGGATCTGGGAGATTGAGTTATTAATTGGACTCAAATACAACCCTGTTACCTTACCAGTGAGAAAGCTGATAGGTTCAGAAACAGCCCCCAGATATGCAGTCTCTGGCCTTGTGGCAGAGCATGACTGGGGTGGCAGATGCAGAGAGTCATTTACAGTGTTGTGAAGGTGCTTAAAAAGTATTAATTTGCAGTTTGAGTTTCCCTTTTAAATTTGAAGAGCCATTGTACAAATAGTTCCAGGTTATGCATTTGGAGATGCCATCTATACAGTAGAAACACTATTGTAAGATCGAGATAAAAGTCCTTTAAATATTAGGGAGTATACGCATTCATTCTTAGTAATATATATACTGTTAACTTGCCCCCAAAAATGGTATCAGTAGTGAATCTCTTTTAATACTATCCTATGTTTAGTAAGTTCTATATTGTTATCACTGAGTTGAAGTGTACTCAATTCTAAACATATTTTGCACTGCAAATGTTCTATCCTGGACTTTTGGTCTGAGGTGCCATATTGCCTCCTCTGAGGGGAAGGCAGCTGCTAAGGTTTCCTACGGTTATCCTCTCTAGATGGGTCTCACCCCATTTTCTGCTTCGGATGTCACTAGGAATGATGGGGGTGGTTGTAAGTGGAATTGGTCCTGGATGTGTGTCACATATGAGCAGTGGGCACTGAAGGGTTGGGGGCCAGGTTTTCCGCCTTGGCATAGCTGATTCTGTTCTCCAATCCCTGTTACATATGAGGATAAAAAATAATGTCCATTTTCCAGGGCACACACTTTGTATCTACCTGTCCCAGACTGAAAGATGCAAGTGCCACAGTGGCTTTGCCTTCTGGAGCCCTTGGGTGATCTTCCAGAACGGAGCTGATCTTAATGTGTGGGCATTCTGGTGACTTCTTTGCCTCCAACCATCTGCCTTCTGGGTCCACAGCTCAGTGGAAGGAGAGTGCTGAATGGACATGGGAAAAGGGCCCCTTAGTTCCTTTCTCCAGCTAAGGGAGACAAGGAAGGGAGTGACTGGGAAATGTGTAGCGTGAGAATAGATGGGAATCAGCTCTTTTACAGTAGAATGAAAGATGGAGTGATTAGACCAGGATCATCACTCATGAGGAAGCAAAATGCCATAAAATATTAACATCTAGTAATTTACCATCATAACCCAAACTGTTCTTTGGAGAATTTCCTCTTTCTTAAATTGTAGCAATAGCACTGAGACTAAAAAGAATATTAGTCTTACAAGCTTATTTTAAACCTGTTCCTAGCAGTAGTAACTGCTTTTGTCATCGTGGGAATGCCGAGACTTTATTAACAACCAATCTATAGGCCAAACATTTTAAAATTAGCAATCTGAAGTCATGAAATGGTAGGAAATCTTGACCACCTGCTATTTGGCATTGTAGAAGGAGAAGCAGAGGTAGATGTACTTGGTGAGTTCACACGTCTGATGCTCCAGGTAGTGGGCACATGGACGTTACAGTAGCAATTAGCCTTGAATGAGAGAACAAAACTTCCAAGCATAAATGGCAAGCTTGCAGCATTGGTAGGTAGAGCATTTCTAGATTGGGACTCATGAACTACTTTTTCAATCTGAAGGCTTCAGCAATAGGCAGGCTCCCAATTCTGCAAATAGCAAATGAAAAGCCACCTACTATTCTTGGATTTATAGATCCAATTTACTAAGTTGAAGGACACTTGCTCTTTTTAAGCTAATGGAACTAGCCGCCCCCTGCATGCTGAGTGTCTGTGGCAGTGTGATCTCAGTGACTTCTCTTCTCTGTTGTGGAATGTAGGTGAAAAGAGCGGAGGGGAGCCCGATGACGCGGAACTGGTAAGGCTCAGTAAGAGGCTGGTGGAGAACGCAGTGCTCAAGGCTGTCCAGCAGTATCTGGATGAGACACAGAATAAAAACAAGCCAGGGGAGGGGAACTCTGTGAAAACCGAGGAGGCTGATCGGAATGGCAATGACAGTGAGAACAACAGGAAATGAGTCCTGAACCAGAACCAGGCTCCTGCCGCTCCGTGGAAAGCATCCCTGCTCCCCTCTGCTGAGTCTAGAGACTGACTCGCCATCTGCCAAGTTTCTCTCGTCCAGTCCGTGGAGATTGCCTAATATTTTTGTGATTGATGTGTTTGCATTTCTGAAACACGACGGAAGAGGAAGGGAGTGCTGGGACTGGCAGAGGAAATTACTCTATGAAAGAAGAATGTCCCAAGTTTCACTTCCGCTCTGCCAGGCACAAGGGAGAAGAAGGGAACTTGGGTTTTGCCTCCTGGACACAGGGCCATGGAAGAGGCCTTGCCATAAACAGAATACTGCCATTTATCCTGACTAGCAGGGCATTTGACTACTTTATCTGAGGCCAAAACTCTCACACACAGCTATCAAGTGCTAAGTTTAAAATAATCACTGTTGAAATGATCATCTGTACTAGTCCATGTTTCATGTGTGTCCTAAATGTGCTCTTGGTATGCAGTGATCTTTATTTATAGTAAATTATGTCTCATGTAAATGATATATTTTTGGTGAAATGCAACCTTTTCTATAAAGTGTGGGCAACATTTTAAAGGTTTTTTTTAACCTTAATTTTGATATGTCAGTGTGCCATAGTTAATGTTTTTCATTGGCATTTGTACTTTAAATGTATTATATAATTTTTTTTTCTTAGGCAAGAAACCTATTGGAATTCAAGACTTAATTAATGAAGCACTGCATCAAGAAAGGATGGCTCTGAAGTCCAAAGTGAAACAGATAAAGGAACTTTTATTAAAGCCTGAGACTCAGGACAAAATTAGGAGGGAGCTATTTGAAGGAAGACTGATTAACAACAGTAATCAGGCAAATGATGTTGATTCTGGCATGACTTTGACATAAGCTCTACATTGCTATTATGGCAACAGTTTGTGAAATCTTTTCAGCTTATTAAATAACTCTTTGGTAAATACCAAAGAAGCATTCTGACAGTGTCTACACAACAGCAAACCAACATTTGGTAAGGAATTAATTTCTTGCCAAAGAAAACTGATTCAGCCCTATTACTTTCTGATCTAAACTTGTGTTGTAAGAATGTCTGTTTCTGTTATATTGATAGTTGTTTTATAGAAATGACTTCTTAATTAGCTGTTTTGTGAGATGTTTCTTGGGTCCTTGCAGATAAAAATATAGACTGTGAAAAAAATCATTTGCAGACAAAAAAGCCAACAACAGTATTTAAGGGTCATTTGCTTCCTGTTAACATGATTGTTGTTAAAAACAGCACTGTTCAGGCCCGTCTACATCTAGTGTTACTTTTAATGAAAATTTGAATGTTTATTGAACATTAGTACTTGAATGAACATTTATAAATGTAATTATTGCAATCATTGGTTAGGAATGTTTTATAATATCCATATATTATTTTTCACAGATCAAAATGTAGTTTGCTTTTTCATTTCTTAATGAATAAATGTTTGGGATTTTTATTTTCTACTTTTTTGAAGATGAGCTCCAGGTTTTATCATATATCCCTTGTAATTTGAATTTGTTTGCACTGGTTTATTTTTAAAGAGCACTCTTGAAAAAATTCCCCAATTATGATGATTATTGTTAACAGCTTTTTCTATAGTCATTGTAAAATTGCTGCTACCAATAGATCATGATGGAGGGGGAAGTTATTGAAGATCAAATATGTAATCATTTCAAATATAAAATCCAGTTTACTCATGGATTTTAGCTATTTTTTCACTGGGCAAATTATACTGCATTTATTTATAAATGAGTTTATGCATTTTCATGCCTCTTAATAAATGTATTGTTTTCCCTTGTTGCCTTTCCTCATTTTTTTTTTCCTCTTGGAAGTTATTGGATCTGTGTTTGTGTAATGAAGTCATGGACAGGAGCTCTGATAGTTTCAGCGTTTCTTCACCTGTCCTTCATGCTAGGATAGCACAGTTGTCAAAGCACCTTCAACTTTAGACTTTTAAATCATTTTAAATCAGTCAGCTTCACAGAGAATTCACAATAGAACTTTACATTCAAAAAAAATTTAAATAACAAACAGCCAAGAATGTGTCTGTCACTGAAGTGGCATCAATAACAAAGATGAAAATAGTAGATCCACTCATGTGCAGAAACCTGGGAGCTGCTTGCCACAAAACCCCCTTCAACAGAAGGGTTTTATTGTTTGTAGATGCCTTCCTTATTAATAAATCCTTAAGGTAGGGAACAGAAGTATTTTTGGTCTTGCCTTGTTTTTCCAACAAGCAAACAGACTCCAAGAGGTGGAATGCTTTATCCAAAGGCCATGGCTATTAGGGAACTGGACCTAACTATAACCCAGGGCTCTATGTCAGTGTGCCACATCCCATAATCTAAGTTAATAGTATTTTCAGAGAGAGCACTTTTCTTCATATCTATAAATATCTTATCCTCAGGGAGCTATTCCCAATCCATCTGAATAATTTGAAAGGCTAATATACTTTTTTCAATTTGGGGTTACATGTCTTATTGTTACTTTATTTGGGAATCATAATTTCCATTGTTAAATACCTGCTAGGTCCCAGGCTGTGTGCCAGGTGATTTTAGCACATGATTAAATTTCTTCCCTTCAGTGAACCTGTTAGGAAGTAATTAGTGTTTTTTCAGATTAGGAAATTGGGGCCATATATGGTTAAATGGCCCAAGGTCATAAAACTAATAAAAGTTTGGACTAAATTTAAATTTGGATCTGTTCTACTTCAAAGCCAACACTCTTTCCACAATGTAACACTTCCTCTCTCCACCAAGTACAATATATTTCACAAATTAAGGATGTGTACCAAAGGGAAAGTCACTTTCTTTTGAATAAGTCAGATCCTTTGCAGCCTTAATTTCTATGAGCATATAAGAGTGATCAGCTGATGTGATGGAGCTGGGGAAAAAAACCCACAAAAACCCAGATATTTAATTTAGGGATTAAGGATTCTAATCTTTATCAATGAAATATCCATTTAAGCAGGTCTATGAAAACAATGGAAAGTATAAGTTGTCCTTATTTTCTTTTTTTTAAAGACATTAATTTGTAAAAATCTAAGTTTAAGATCTGCAATGTTCAAAATGACTTTATTCTTGTTAATCAGAGTTACAGAATAATTGCTTGTTGGGTCACATAGCCAGAGTGAGTTGTCCTAAGTTGATACTGTATGTTGTATACCCTTGTCTTCTGACAGGGAGACTGCATGGTTGGTGACAGAGTGGCTGGCTTAGGCCAGGAGACAGACTATGTCTTTTAGACTTGCACTTACTAACATGTGATCTTGAGCAAACTGATTCATTTTTCTGAGTATCACACTTCCCAATCTGTAATTTGAGAGTTTGGCTAGGTGATTTCTAAGGACGCTATAGCAGTGTTCTTTGTGACTATACTGCCATGGTATTCATGCTAATGCCACCATCTCAGCTACCACTGTGTGCAGCCTTCTTTTTGGGGCCCCACTCTTCCATCAGTTGGCAACGGGAGTCCTTTATGTTCCAGTTTGCTTGTGTGGGTTGTCAATTTCATGTAAGGAGGCCCAGTGGCACATATGCACATTTTTAAACACATTCCAACAGTTTGGGGGATGAGTGACTGGAAAAATAGTAGATCCTATATCAATATTTTAAAGGATGTCAAAAAGTAGTATTTTCAACAGCAGGACAAGATTCTGTCAGCTTTGAACTTGGTCTCATTTATAGAATCTTAAGTTATTTTATTTAATATATTTTAATATTATATTAATTTACTTCTTAGTGCTAACTATAGGCCTTTAATATACTAGTAAATATTATAGTAGTTATAATTACTAATATATCTAGTAAATTTTAATTTTAATTAAAATTTAAGTTAAAAAAATCTTAATTTTTCAGATTTTAAAATTCAAATTGTTCATTCCAAAATCCCAAATGTGTCACTTCTCATTCTAGAAACCAGATGTTCCCATAAGGAGGTAAATTAAAGCAGTTTGATTTCATATGCTAGATGTCATTTCAGGCATATGACCAAAAAGATATGTTTGCACCTCTGTGTTCAATCACAGATGCATAAACCAGCTACCATATTATGTAACAAAAAATTTATTTCATTATACAAGCAAAGACAACAAACATAGTATTCTCCAAACATAAATTGATGAATGGATAATCATTGTTTTCCAACACTTTCAACTCTCACCTATAATTTTATTTTTAAGTAAATTACAGATGCATTCCTGAATTCCAATTTTTCCAAGTACATAGAATTTATATAAAAATAAACTCAGTGTATTTATAAAAAGTAGTTTCCAGGTCTCTATGTGAATTTGATAGCAGCATACATGCTAATAAGACACACCCTGAGATTATTTTATCCACAGTAAAAATGAACATTCGAGTACTTCACTTGGAGTTGGTGAATTTAAAATTGTGATACTAGCTACAACACTTTGTTCCCTGGATCACGGTTTTGGGGATAATAGGCTTGTGTATAAGGTAATTTGAAAGCTTTTGAAGGAAGGTGCTATTATCATCTCCAGTGTAATCTGCTCAAAACTACTTATTAGAATCCATTAAATGTAAGTGATAAATTAAGGCAATTTGAGATGATTTTAAAATGTAAACTGCAGTATTTATTCCTCTATGTATTCCATCATTAGTCACCTATCAGAAGACCATGAAGTTCTGTTATAACGTCAAAGGAACAATGAAACTGAGAAATTGATTCATTGTTTCCAGTAAACCTATGTTGCTTTCCCTTTAATGGTCCAAATTATTTCTGAAAAGCTCCTATCATGTGACACTGCCCTATATATGTGGTACGTCTTTTGCCCCATCTTTGAAAAGTGACAAAGTCCTGCCTACTTAAGCAGCTGTATGGTATATGCAGTGCTGCTTCTTAGGTAAAAATACAGCAAATTAGTGCAACATTTCAAATTATTCTCTACCAATTCCTGCCAAAGACCACTTGGGCACAATGTCACCATAGCAATATCTTTGAACCAAAGTATGCTGTAGTTTCTTCACTGATTTTTTTTTTAAGGCACATATGTTATCTTACCCACAATTTCAAAACATTGTTTTTTGAAAACACTCATGGGATATATAAAGTTGTATGAGTTGAGAGGGCAAAGAAGTAGGAGTTTACAGCTGGAAAGGAATTACATTGCTGAGGAAAGCAGTGAAAATGATACATATGCACCAATCCAAAAAATATCTGATATGCTAATTGAGGTAGAGAAAATGGCATGAATATGCAACAGTGGGGAGAAACTAAGTATATCTTTTTAAGATTCTGGAAGACAAATTTAGAAGATATTTTTACCAGCTCCATGCTTGGTAAAGTGCCTGTGGGGAGAGGCATGTGACAAGGGCTTTTGGTGATTTGGTGGACATTTGTCATACTTAAGTGAATGCCTGGCATCTTCTGAATACCTTTCCTATGTTTGCATAGTTTCTGACCTTGTGAGTCCTGCTTCCCCAGGATGGAGGGCAGGAACTCACCGTCTCAGTTTTCTATGTCACTAGGGTTCAGACATGTGACCTGGGCTCCACCAAGCAAGAGAGAAACCCTGCATGGAATCCATTCATTCTGGTGAGGATGGTGGAGAGATACCCAGCCCTCAGAAGCAGTAGTGGGCAAAGGCCCTATCTAGGGTGTCACACACTCTGTGTAGGTAGGACAAGTTGGCAGAGGGGAGTGGCAACAGGGCTCCCCCAAAGCAGCTGGCGGTGTGATGGGTCATCGTTCCTGCTTAGCCATGTGGCCTGATTCTCTGGGCCCTCTGGAGATTCTGCGAGCTACCAAGTATTCTTTAATAAGTTCCTTTCCCACTGAAACTAGCTAACGCTGGTTCTGTTGTTTGCAACTAAATATCTTGACGAACATAGGCTACACTCCACCAAATCAGTATTTCAACACAGGGCACAATTGGCATTTTGGTTTGGATACTTCTTTGTAGTGTGGGATGATTTCTGTACATAAGAAGTTACCATTTCTGACCCCCAGGATTAAAATGCCAGTGGCAGACTCCAGTTATTGTGACAACTAAATATAATCACCTCACTTCCCAAATCCACTCCAGGTTGGGGTCACATAGCCCCTGGTTGAGGAGCTCACTATTAAATAGTGCTCTCCCAGCAGCATGAATGAGTGCTCCTTCTCATCTCCACTTTATCAAGAAGTAATTTAGTCTCCAAGAGCACGTGCTCACTGGGGCTCTGTACACACATCATCCTGGATAGAAACAGGAAAATGAAACCACCTGCATATGTGACATAAATCAAAACACCTAGTTACTGCACTTGGAAAAGAGCTGAAAGGATCAATTGTGATGATAGTTATGTCATTGTTGCAAGAAATTGTTTGGTTTATACGATTGTTTGGGCAGACTTAGAGGGGAAAAAGATAACCTCCAAATTCTAAAACGATATGACACGATTAACATTATTAGGTAATACGACAACAGGGCTATTATTCACTTTATAAAAGCATATGTTAAAAGTATTTGATATTACGGGGACATAGGCTTTTAATCTGTTAAAGAATATAAAAGAAAAATTTTAATTTTACATTATATGCTTAAGAGAAAAAGTCTATAATGAAATGTAGGGATACAGTAGTTCCCTTTATTGGTAGAGATGAGGGATATGTTCCAAGACTCACAACAAATGCCTGAAACCATGGCGAGTACTGAACCCTACACATAAACTATATATTTTCCCTATACATATATACCTATGATAAAGTTCAGTTTGTAAATTAGGCATAGTAAGAAATAATTATAAAATAGAATTATAACAATATGCTGTAATAAAAGATGTGAATGTGGTCTC